TATATATATATATATGCTTTTTTTCTCTCTCTAAGATAATGGCTATAGTCAGACCAAATAATTCACATGACCCACCATATAATATATGCATGTATCAATTCTCCGCATGCATGTCTCCATCTATTTGAATATGTAACAGAAAAAGAAAAAAAAGAATCTGACCTAGACTTTTAAATTAAATCTCCTTCCATTTGCATAAATTTTATTTGTATTTTTCTAATATTTTATGCTAAAAAATGCCACGAAAATTCAGCGAGATAAGAAAAGGTGTGACTTAGACTTTTGATTTTTTTTTTTTAAATCTAAATTAGGAATTAGTGAATAGATTAGGGTGTTTCTCAAGTTTAAAATATAAATTAACAACATTTTTTTTACCATCTCTTTCATTTAGTATTAATAAAAAAACCAAAAAAATTCAAATAGAGCAATTTTTTCTAACACAATTAAATTTAACACATCTGGTCAAATTAAAAATTATGTATATTTAGATCTAAATCTAACATAAAAAAGTTTCAACAAATGGAAAAAATATTGAAACAGCCAAATTAAACAAACCCCATGAGTTGCTGGCAAAAAAATAATGCAAATCCATGTGTTCAACTCTGGGCGTCTAAACGGGCCATAACATCAAGGGCTTCAACTGAACAGAAAAGAAAGTGTTAGATATATTAAAAACATTATAGCCCATGGCCTATTACATATCATAAATGCAAATGTTGCTATTTTAAAACCCTAATATTATTTTTTTTAAATCATGATTGTATTTATTTACAGTATTCATTACTATTTTCAGATACAAGGCTTGTAATTTATTGTTTTTAAAAAATACCTTGTCTTTTAGCAATTTTAGAACAAAAAATCATGGGTTTAAAGTTTAAACCCTAAACTTAATAATTTTTGTGTGAATTTTAAAAACATTCCAAAAAATAATCAACAATCCGTTCAAATAGTACCAAATTGGACAACCTGAATTAGATCAACAATCCGAACCCAAATCCAAATGTCTTTTTAACGAGTAATAATATTTTTTTTCCAAATATTTATTGGAGAAATCTACTCCAAGATCTAAGAAAATAAAACCCTAGTCCAATATCAAGAGAAAAAAGCAATGGTAAAAAATGAAGGCATAATAATAATAACAACAATAATAATAATAATTAAATCCTAATAAATCTTCAGCTTCTTGATATAATTTTTGGATTTTTAGAAATCGAACCATAAATCACACTCATAATCATATCACATCGTAATCATTAATACATGGAGAACTTTGTATGGTACACACTTTAAGTACTTCATGTGCTATTTTTTTTTTCTTTGGAAAAAAATTAAAACGCGTTCAAATGGGACCTAATTAGCTGTTCAAGTCATTTCACGTTTGTGAAATTTCTATCTTAAGGAGACTTTCGCAAATATTTGTAGATTATAACATTTAGTTCGATATAAAGATCTATATGTTTTAGAATTCTCCAAATATGTATAATAATATCCTAAAATAATGCATTCATATCCTAATAGATGGGGCTTTGGACGACCGTATATAATGTCTAAATCGCTTAGACGGATTCTTTATAAAAAACATAGCAAAACAACTTCTATTTAGACCATATCGGTGCATATAACCTAAACTCGTTACCTAAAACAAGAACGATGCCCTAGTTCTTATAACATATATAGCTTGATTTCGGTCCAACTAATTAAGAGAAAATCGCGATTTCTATACCGATTTCTCTATAGAATAATAGAGTGGATATAAGATTTCAGACATGAAACACAAGATGAAAGATGAATCCAAACAAAACTCGAATCTATATGATCATATAAACCATATGCTTTAACCCCCACATGAAATATATAATCCACGACGGCTATGGTTACATAATGGACCATTTGTAAAATTGTTAAAAGAGAATATTGGGTAACGTTGTCATAGTAAACCCGAGCCCATTGGTCACGATCACCCAAAAAAGCACCAATGAGGAACAAACATTAATCAAAAGGATAAGAAAAAAAAAAGAAAAAGAAAAAGAAAAAGGCTTTGAATTGATTTGATTTCTGGTCCAATAAATGGATATTAAGGAAAATACACAAAAAAAAAAAACTAATGGACCATTTGTAATAATTCCTTGTGTCCCATCTTGTTTCCATCACGTACTTCTCCGATCCATTCTCCGTCACAGAACATGCAAAGCAACACAAAATTGTACGTCCATAATACGTACCCTCTTTCCTTTTTCTTTTTTTGTAAAGTGTACAATTTTTTTTAAAAAAAATTGATCGAGGCTTAGCGTAGGCTATAAACATTATTAAGGCTATGAATGATAATGTTTTTTATTTTGAGTTTTTGGTTTTAGTTTTTTGTTTTTGAATTTTAATTTTTTTTGTTTTTGGTTTTTATAGTATGTATAATCAAACAAATCTAATTTAGTTTTTAGTTGATTTTTTCACTAATTTTTTTTAAAGTTTTTAACAAAACTAAATTTACAAAATTGTCCAAAAAAATGGATTCTAAAAACCCTAAAAACTCCGTCCATTGAACCCTAAGTTTTAACAGTTTTAGCAACCGATATTGAATTCTCGAGACTTCATATGAACAGAAAAATAATCACCTTTCATATGAGGATATATGTCTTTGAATTTGGCACTACGTCTTTGAATTTGTAATAAAATAGCGAACCGATATGTAGCGGTTGATTCTAACTCCCGATGATCCATATAAAAAGAAAGATTCCAAAAATAACCATGAAAGACAAAAAGAAGCATACATATTTGGCACAACAAAAGATATATAGATACGTTTTCGGACCACTTCGCTTTCCCTCCTTTCTCATGAACCATATATATATATATATATATATCTTATAATATCTTGACTAAAACGGAAATGACTTACGAAAGAGCTAATAGGATAACATAGATCGAAAAGTGTTCACCGGTGGTGCACATTTGAAGAATATTTTTAAATCCGAGCATTATAATATGTTGTTTTGTATTTTTGTTTTGGTTATATATATATATATATATATATATATCAAAAGTGGTGGTGGAGATTTGAACTGGACCACGTGGGCAACTCTCTCCGGTCTTGGAACTATCTTTTTCCTGTAATACAAACATCATGGGTCATATATGCCCTAAAATATTATTGAATTGCCTAATCTTTCTTTTTATAATACATTAAACTTCAATACCATATTAAATATGTTTACATCTGATAGAAATCGTACCATATATATATATATATATATATATATATATTATACTAAATCCAAATTATGTGATATAAGATAGTTTCTTCTTAATAAAAAAATGATAGTTTCTTAGAATCTGAAAAATGATTTTTTTTTATATATATATATATATATATATATATCAAAAGTGGTGGTGGAGATTTGAACTGGACCACGTGGGCAACTCTCTCCGGTCTTGGAACTATCTTTTTCCTGTAATACAAACATCATGGGTCATATATGCCCTAAAATATTATTGAATTGCCTAATCTTTCTTTTTATAATACATTAAACTTCAATACCATATTAAATATGTTTACATCTGATAGAAATCGTACCATATATATATATATATATATATATATATATTATACTAAATCCAAATTATGTGATATAAGATAGTTTCTTCTTAATAAAAAAATGATAGTTTCTTAGAATCTGAAAAATGAAACAATATCGGAGAAAACAATCCATTTTTTCTGTAAAATTTTGGACATTCATTGTAGGAAAATATCATATGTTCTCAATTACGTGGCTGACCATCAGTCTAGAGATTAGTGTTGACTTTGGTTCAATACACTCGGTTACCCAAAAAAATTATAAATTTGGAAAATCGATATTTTTGGACAATTTACATATTAATTTATTCTTTTATGTAATTTTCATTTTTCTATTAGTAAGGAATTATATTATAAAAATATTATATATATACTTAAATTTGTTCTATATATTATCGTTAAACAAAATAATATTATTCTGTAATTTGGTCTAATTTCAGAGTTTAATATCATTTTTGGACGTGAACAACTATTTTCTTCCAAAAAAAATTATGAATGACATGGAAAGTAACGAGGAATCATAACGAGGATCTAAACTTTCTATAATTCTGGCAGACGCATATCAAACAATTTTTTCAAAGTTTATATTCCAAAGTCAACTACAATGAAAAAATATTGTAAACTAGAAAAATAAAGAGATTTTCTGTTATGTAGAGAGTTTCTATGCATGATAATTTTAACATCATATATTTCTCAGAAGTCGAATTTTGAAGTTATTTTTCAATATAGAAGTAAAAAAAGGGGGGGGGGGGGAGAACCCTTCAAAATGAAAAGGCGATGATACGTTAATTTACCATAAAATTAAAGAAATAAATAACTATGCAATTAAATAAATTTCATGTATGTAAAATATTTGGTTGGTATGTGTGAGCAAAGTTTGACCAAATTCCAAACATTTGTACATTACTCATTACTCATTCCAAAGTCCGTGATTATCGGTCTCAATGTACACATCGAGATACATAGATAGATAGATAAATAGAGAGAGAGAGAGAGTTACCTCTTTTTTAGGGAAAATATAGTATAATGCTTTATGTATGTATTGATAGAGAACCCAATATATAGATATTCTATATATTTTAAAGAATTAGTTTTAAATCTATAAAAAATATTTATATATTTTGTATGTATTTTTAAATATATCTTTAAGTTGGAGCGTATGAATCTCAAAAACGCAATTTACCGTGAAATATTGAGAATTATGAAGATGATAAAATCTTGTTGTATTTTTAAGAAAGACGACAAATAATTCTGAAAGAAAATCTAAAAAATAAAAATAATCTAAAGTGTGAAATGTGCGTTCGGGGTTTTACTTTTTTACGGTTTTTTGGTTTTTGAAGTTATTATATTTTTGAACATGGGTGTGAATTTAAAAGAAAATAGTCATTGCAAGAACAAAAATTAAGTTAGTGGATTTATCCGGGTTTTATGAGAAATATAGTTGGTTTAAAGATTTGGTGAACTTTTAAATTATAAAAAAAATATAAACTTTCGAGTTATAAATAAAATATGAATGAGATATACAAAGTTCTCTTCTTTATATATGTGATATCGTGGCCTTACAATCTAGGGTTTTTCCTTTTTACATTTCCCTAACAATCTTTAACATATTTTTAAAATGCATTTTAATGTGGATAGTTGGATAATGCAATGTGGTCACGACATTTACAACCGACACACTCAGTTTGGGTTCTATCGGAAAGTGATATATCAATAAGCATTCTGTAGATTTTTTAAAATATAACTTTGTAAATAAAAGTTATTTGATTTCGATCTCTCGTCGGACGTAGAAATTCAAACTATTCGATAGAATAATGAAGAAATTAATTAAATAATTACTATTGTGTATCTAAAAATAAGTCTTAAAACTAATATTTTTTCTATCTATTAATAAAAACAATATTAAATTAAATCTTAAATTAATTTTTTTTAAGAGATTATGTTTACTAGTATTGATCAGGAAAATAGTGTTACAGATTAATTTGTTCTTAGATTAATTTGTATAGTTAACGGTACAAATAGATTTCTCAACTTTGGTTTATTATATAAAAAATAAGTACAAAATATCATTTTCGGTGTATCTTGGAATGGACCATGAGATCAAAGGGACCATAATGTCACTGAGAGGACCAACAATGAAGTTAATACTGCAACTGGCTTTGGGCATCTTGGCTCCCATCTTGTCCTTTACGCATATGCACATGCCCTCTCTCTCTCTCTCTCTCTCTCGCTCTCTATCTCTCTCTCATACACACACGCAAATCTCTATGTATAAATATATACTCCTTCCCCTCAATATCCATCCATCTTCAAGCCACTTCTAACCCATCCTCTCTCTCTCTCTCTCTCTCCCTCTCTCTCTCTCTCTCTCTCGTTGAATATTACAAGACTAAAGAAATGGCCTTCAAGAAACCAGCAAAACTAACACAAACAGCAATGTTGAAGCAGATTCTGAAGAGATGTTCGAGCCTGGGGAAGAAGCAGGGATACGAGGAAGACGGTCTCTGCCTCGACGTACCAAAGGGGCACTTCCCGGTCTACGTGGGACAGAACAGAAGCAGATACGTTGTCCCGATCTCGTTCCTGACTCACCCCGAGTTCCAATGCCTTCTCCGGCGAGCCGAGGAAGAGTTCGGCTTCGATCACGACATGGGTCTCACCATTCCTTGCGAAGAAGTCGCCTTCCAAGCCCTAACCTCCATGATCCGATGAACTAGAAAGAAACAAGAACAAGAACTTGAAGAAGATGGCTAAAGCTGAAGTTTTCCACAAGCTTCTCTTTTTTTCTAACATCTTCTCTTCCAAATTTCACTATATTCTTCGTTTTTTCCCCTCTCTTTTTATGACGAAGTGTCGAGATCGATCTTTACGGCGACCCGTCATTTTTTAAAGGTTTTCAAGGGTTATTTAGTGTGACCCTTCTGACAAAAAACCTAGAGACAGGGGATGTTATGTGGGTTTTACTTAGATCTGTACAAAAAAAAAAAAAAAAAAATTCTCCCGTTTTCCTCACGGAACGCTGCTTTCTTCTATTTGGTTCCGTGAGAGAAGTCATCAATGGCAAGAAAAAAAAAATAAAAGTACTCCTCGATCTTATGTCTGGTCTTCGTCTTTGGTCTGTTTCTTGATCATGAGCCTTGAGTGTGCATGCAGATGATGCGTCACATCGTATATTAAAGATATCAAAGAAAAAAAACAAAAATATCATACGCGTTCTTTGTAAAAACTAAATCTATATATATTAATAAAGATGTTTAAAGGATTGTGGTGAAGCCACCTAAGCATCCACCCCATCATCTATGTGGCAAAATTTAAAATTTTCATTGGTTATTAAGAATTATTATAAATTTTACAAAGTTGGTGATTTAAATAAGAATTACTATAAAATTTATAAAGCTTTGACGAGAAATAAATAAATGAAAACTATGTAATTGTGGATTGAAAAATTATAAATGTGATCTGGTTAATGCTAACGTTTTTTAATAATAATAAATACTTTGTTACACTATTTTGGAGAATACGGACAATCCAAAAGCCAAAAGTGTTTCATATTCCAACGTTAATTCATTTATTATAATTGAGGTTTATTTTAAAAGTAAATAATTCATTAAATGTTATAACATATACGTTACATATTATATCGTTTCTTTTCCTCTCTCTCACTATTTAAAAGAGATAAAAGAAAATAATATCCGTGGAGACATTCATGGGTTTTCCGTTCAACCATGTTTTACCGTTGTCTTTGTTTTTTTTTTTTTGGCATTTCAGGAACCATCTTCCCAATGGACGCTTGACACATTTTCTTCATGAAAGAGATTGAAAAAAATGGTTCAACAGGGGAGTCTCGTAGCTCACGTAGTTGAAAGGGGTAACGTGAAAGGTCATGGTGATGTATGTTTTCTTATCCTTTGTCTCCTTTGTACTTCTTATTTGATTCTTTTAATTAAAAGAAACATATATACAGACAAAAATTGAAGAAAATAGAGGTGAAGGAAGGAATCATGCATCTTCTTCTTTGGCTTTCCCTGATACGCTTAGATTATTGGTGTTTTAAACACACTTAATCATTTCCCTGTTAACCAAGTTCCTACAACCTTTGTTTTCAAATTTATACACGTAACTACTGTAGGAATAAATTAGTGAATCAGTTTAAATTAATATATATATACATGACATGAATTATTATATAGTATTAGTTGACAACCAAGATTATAGATTGATCAGTTACCAAAAAAAAGATTATAGATTGAGATAAAAAAATGATTAATTATTATCATTATTATTGTTAAATAATTCTTATTTATATACCGTCAATTGAACATATTGTCGGTCCTTTAGACGTTTTCTCTTCTTCGCACGCATGTATATTGAAATAAAAATTAGTTAATGATATATTAACAAATATTTTAGTTTTAATAGTATATTGAATTAAAATGCTGTTAGGATATATATATATATATAAGTCATACGAGTACCATGGGTATTAAGACGAATATTCATTCTTTACCCTCAAGATTCATGGAAATTTATTCCTTTGCTTTTAAAATCTGAAATTGGTTAAGGCGAAAATATCTTTTTTTTTTTAATTCATTCTTTGATATTTTTTAAGCGATTTTTAATTACAAATTATTTTTATTAGATGTCATCTTCATTATATTAATTTACCAATATAAATTAAAAAAATATAGAAAGACTATTCTATTATACATATAGCAACTTAGATTGTAAAAATTCATTCAAAAAGAGCAATATGAAACCCAAAAAACGGAAACGGTATTGATATTTTACTTCAAAGTATACAAAATTCTATATATTTATATTTCCGCCATAATATTTTAACAAGATATTGTTTCACCTTTTTCAGAATCATGCAGAAAATTTTAACAAATAATAAATGTTAAAACAAAAAAATAATCACATTTATTATTATTCTTCTAATTAGTATTATTGTCTTATCGTATTCTATCTTATTTATTTTTAGTGGTATATATAACTTCTTACTGTGAGCATTCTTAAACTTTTTTATTTTCATTCTATAATATTACATTCATATAACACATGAACTTAGTCATCCTTCAAAGTTAATAGGAAACAGAAATCATTGCACGTGGAAGAGGTAAATGGTTGTCAATTGAGATGGATGAAATTGAACCCATCCCATTTGACCGTACAATTTTCCGCAAAAGAGTCACAATTCTTTAACGTCATAAATGATAATATATGTTCCATCATCCGCTTTTTATTTTTCTATGTTTCCTATCCACATTTATGTTTTTTAACAATTTTATGTGTGTGAACTTTGGCAACACCTATTCTGGTCGGGAAATGCAATAGAGATTCGAGAACTTCAAATGGAGTGGATTGTGAGATTTTTCTAAACCTTTGTTTTCAAATCTTGAATTTATTTTTCATCGAATTTAAATGTTTGAATAATTTTTGACAGTTTAATCTTCTATCTATACTTTTAATTTCTGAGGATTTTAAGAAAATTTGATATTGTGATGCGTTCATATCTGTATCTAAAATAAAGAAAGAAAAGTTTAATGTTTTTTTTTTAAAAAATTAGGGATCTCACAGCGAGTTCATACCCAGTTAAAGTCAATGTTGGGAACGGTGTCATCGTCCTTTACACTATGCTCGCTGGAGCTCCTCCGTTCGGCAAGATGGTGGAGTATGAATTCAATAAAAAAAATATTACATATTATTAGTTTGATTTATTAAAAATATATTTATATGATTAAATTTTTACAAAATCATATATTTTAAAAACACATACAAGTAGGAAAAAATTATGTTTTATTTCTATGTAAAAAAAATAGTTATAAAATAATACTGAAAATGATAATGTTAAATATGATAGTTATCATTTAAAAACTTTACATCTATATATTTGTCATAGAATATTTTATTGGATTGAGTTTTCTATTTATTTGTAGATGATGCTGTGTGAGTAGTAGAATATATTATAAAATAATAAACATATTACTTGATTTTATATAATAATAATAAGATAATGTTTTTCAAAAAGTGTTAATTTGATATAATAATGAAATTTGGTTTAAATGACATGTTGAAGATGAAGAAGACGAAGACTGTTGGAGAATTGGAGTGTTTTTTCCCTGAATTCACTCCAAAAGGAGTGTAGATGATGTATATACATATAAAAGTTACAAATTTTATGAAAATAAAAAGTAACAAAAAAAATTTATGACTAAACATAAATGAAACGTAAATATATATGATATACATGACAAATTTCAACGTATTACCAAAACAATGAGTTCAATTCAACTCTTTTTATACAAAATATATTAAAAATAATTTAAATAAAAAAATTATAATAACATCATTTTTAATATTATCCATGAACTAAATTTTTTTATAAGATCGAAAAAACATATCAACAACAAAACAAATAATTGATATTGCTCTTATACATGGTTCATACAATACTCATATTTTCATATTTTCAATCATTATTCAATCACCAACATATTCGAAACAACTATTGACATTACAAAAAGGATCATTTTCGATTAGAGATTATGTTATACAATGATAATAAATAAAAACCGAAGACAAAATATTAAACAACTAAGTGTATATCTGTCACGACTTATTTTTAATCATGGTCAGTTGTATGTTACTCTCTCTTCCATATAACATCTACAACAGGAATACAAATCCTAGCTAGATCATACAGAAAACTCTAATGAAAAAGATACGCCTATAGACAAATTTTCAACATTGTAAAAACCCTAAGGTTAGATTAAAAAAAAAACTCATATCCAACTCCTTTTATACGAAATACATTATAAATAATTGATTTAAAAAATACGATGTATTAAATTATCAAACAGTACATATAATACAAGATTTACAGTTGAAAACATTAGAATAGTACATTAAATTGAAGTGTGTCAAGAAAAAATGTTTCAAAATCATGCAAAAAAACAAAACAATGGAGATATATTCCTCATTAGTGATTTCAACACATATACTACACATATATAAAGATAATTGTATACTATAACAATACAATGATATTTATATTATTTCATTTTTCATATATACATATGTTTATTGATATAATAATACAATTTAACTTTACATAATATATATCAATTTCTATTATATTTATATCAATAATTTTTCAAAAAACTAAATATTTTATATTAAAAAAATAAACCGCGCATCGCGCGGGTCTTATCTAGTTTAGATATAAGATTTTTATGTAACGTCCAAACCAAATCGGCAGCGAGTATGATAAGCTTTTGGGAAAAAGGGCTTTCCTTCAAGTGGGTCTGGATGCATGAGACTTGACCACGTGACGTACGGACAATGGTTTCTTGTTTTTTTTTTTATTAAAAAAAAGCGTTTCATAAGTATAGTATTAAAGTGTTTGATTAACTAAATGGTGAAATAAATATGCTATTATAAATCTATAACCCAATATTTCATACAATATATATATATATATGTGCTATTATAAATCTATAGAATAAAAAATTACGGAGAATTAGAATTATCATTTATAAAATTATATTTTTCTAATAGAACTAGGTTTTCTCTCAAATCTTGTACTCTCTTGCAGTTGTACAACAAGCGAAAATAAATTAACAAAATCTTTTGATCATGTTATAAATCTTTCATACAATATATATATATATATATATATATAACATAGTTAAAATTAAATAAATGGATTCAGAAGCATGGCATGTTATCTTCTGCATGCATATGCTCTCTGACAACTACCAAACCCTCTTTGGACTTACATTTTCAGGCATATCATATATACTACGTGGATTCACTTGTTTTATTCTCGCCATTTTGATTCTCACGATTCCGTACAAAAACTAAATATTTCAAATTGTGTTTTTTTTTGTTGATATAATATTTGCTGGTGACATGGCCACAGTGTGACGCTTATTTGACATTATAATAAATAAAAAAAAAAACTCCAACGAATTGCGTCAGTTACCGAATTCCGTTAATTGTCTAACCTCGTCAATATAGTTGTACGAAAATTTAATAGTTTAAAAAAATTTTGATTTATTTATTCAAAAGTTTGAGAGTTCATACATTTATTTAGTGTATTTTCAAAAATTCATGATTTTAAATTTATAAAATTAATTATCTTTTTTCTTTGTGGTAATATTTATATATTTTACCATATTTTGTTTCTTATATAGAGTGTTCAAATAAATTCTGTGAATATCTATATAATTTGTAATAAAGATACTACGTACAAATAATAGCCTGCTGCTCACTAATTCTTTAATTGACCCTTTAATCACTCCTAGAGACGCGTTTTTATTTACATTTACGTCTCATCATATGCTTTCCACGTACCACATTCCGTCTTCTACGGCTTTTCCCATTCCGTACGTACAGCCAACTAATGTCACACATTTTTTTTTAAATAAATGTCAGGACCATTATGATAATTATACACTTACAATTGGACCTAAACGGTTATCCAATTATTAAATATTCGATTTTTTTTTTATAACCAAAGCAGTTAATATATTTGGTCCAACTGCTTTTTTTAGGCGGTAGTACTTGTTTATTGGAATCTCATTGCATGGAAAATTTTATTTGTACCAAGATGATAACATTAGTTTCTATATAGATATTTAAATATATGATTATATTATGAAAATACAAATTTGACTTTTTCAATCTAATGTATGAGATATAAATACAATTATAAGCCTATTTCGTTTTATTTATCTTCATATCTCATATTGTGACATATATCTTAAGACAAAATCAAATATTGAATATAACTTTTGTTACAAAATAGTGTGTTTTGCAAGTTGTAATAAATAATGTAACATTACCTTACTTATCTGCTGTATAGGCACCGGGCCTCGTGGGCACTTTTGACAAGGCAAAGCATAATCAGCTAAATAATGATACGAATATTCTGAATAAATATGGACCCACCATTGCATCGATTGGATTTCAAACGTCGGATTTCAACTTGTTAACTAATTACTATTACTACTTAATAATTAATTAAAATGTAAAATTGTAATTCTATTTTTAAAAAAAATTAAATTTGCTTTCCGTGGAGAGACAAAGTGCTTTGACGAAGTCTCACGCAACAGATTCGCATGTCTCCAATTCTACAAAAGTTTATCTTATTAACTTGTTTATTGAATTTAATCTAAAGACATATAGTAAACATATTTTTTAAAAATCGAAAATAATTTAATCGGAGCTGCTTTTATTCCAAATGAAAAATTATAAATAAATAAATAAAAATTTAATTTTGAAACAAATATTTTAAATAAAACCCGAATTTTAAAATAACCACACTAAATAAAATCTGATGTATAAACTTTTCTTTTAAAAATAAAAAATTGTGAACTCTAATACTATGGAAATGAAACCCAAAATATCCAATTCGGCGGAAGATTACAGAAACAAATTTCAAATGATATGGGCACTTTATTGCAGAAAATTTTGTAACAAGAGTTGTAATGTTGACAGACCAAAATACTAGTACCAAATGTTTATGATTTCAGCATTTTCTATAGTAAATGATAATTTTGTAATTAGCAAATAATCATTGGAGATATTATGGTTACGGTATTTACAAGTTATTAAACCAATATTACTCGTGAATTATCCTAAACTAAGCAAATGAGACACCATCGGTAAACCTTAATGTAAGGATCACAACATTATGATTAATGATGTGATATATCAAAGAAATAGAAGAGAAGTGAGAGACTGACCAAATTGTTAGAATAATTTTGAATATACGATTGGTATTATAATTGATTTTGTATATCTAAATTTTTTATTGGATAATTGTAATCGATTTTATGGAAACCCAAGGCTTTGTATTGATGGGGTTACACCAAATTTCCAACTAGTAGATTTGGTAAAATACTTTCTGAAATATGGATTTTTAATAGAAAAAGCTAATAAAATAATATATTAGTGGGGAATTTTCGAATATATACCACATTGGCATTTATTGCATTTAGTGAATCGAGGAAAATTGAATTTACAATTGATAGAGGGCGTAAGAACAGAGGTGCTCCAAACAAATCCTCCGATTCAACTCGGGATGACTCGGCATTACAAAAAAAGAGTAGAAACCCTAATTGCCATCTCCTATTGGTCAAACTTTAATAATAATTAGCAAGAAACTGGTAAAAAAGAGAGAGTTAACCCTCTAATTATACCCATTAAAAAAAAATCTCCCTCCTAATCAAAGCTTTTGATGATTGGTGACTGAGTTGGGTTCTCCGAGTCAGCCTCAGCACACGGATTTGTCCGCAATCCCAGGAAGCAACGGCCGCGAATCGCCGAAATAATCGATGGTCTTCGTCATCCCGAAGTGGGAGCACCTCCGGAGATCCTCTAGCGTCGTTAGCTCACATCGCCCGGCGGACTCGGACTGAGTCACAACTCGGACAATTTCTTCGAACAGAGACTCGTCGCAGGGGATTGCTAGCGGGCCGACCTGAGAGAACCCGTACTCCTCCTCCGCCTCCATGAGCAGCCGCCGGAAGATCGGATGGTTCAGATGCGTCAATCGCACGACGTATCTCCGGCGGCTCGCTCCGACGCAGACAGCAACGTGTCCCGGCGGCACATCCGACGGCGCCACGGCGGATGAGAAGGTGGGATCGGTGGTGACTCCGGCGGACTCGACGTGCGCCTTCCTCCGCCACTGCTTCAGCATCTGACGGATCCGAACAATTCTTCGGATCTTATTGCATTTACCCATCGCCGGCGACATTGTAAAAAGCTGTTTGGCTCCCGGGAAAGCGAAGGAAAGTATGAGAGAGACAGAACAAAAAAGATTTCCGGCGGGGAGAGTAAAATGATGGGAGCGGGGGATATAAAGGTCGGGCGTAAGTGAAATACCCCTCAAGTTTATGATAATTACGAGATTGCCTCTGTTGCCACTTGGTTAAACTAAAGGTTAAAATGACCACTAATCAAACTTTTTTTTATCCATTATAATTATATTAAGTATATTATCGTTTCTAAGTTGTCAATGAAAGGACATCACTCTATTGCCATTTTATTTTATTATTCTTAAATTCATTGTCCATACCACAGGATTTTGTGACTTCGCGTGCGATAATATTAAAGAATAAAGTTAAATATTATATTGTTTGGCTATAAATTTAACTTTTATAATTTAAAATTTCTCAGCTGAATAAGGAAAATAATTTCTCACAACTTCGAAAATTGAAACAAAAAAAAAAGATTATCCAAATGTTCAAACTTCAAAGTATAAGCGGTTGTGAAATAAAATAAATTAACGCTTTTAAAATTAAAATTGGCTGTAACTTTAGTTTTTTTCCTTTAGAGAAATTGAAAACAACTAAAATCATCCCCTCCTTTTTATTGATTAAAAGTGCAAAAAAAAGAAATTTATTCTATAGAAACACTTTGTTATAAGTTGTGAATTATAAATTTAACTTTTATAATTTAAAATTTCTCAGCTGAGCAGAAAAATGGTTAGATAAAATTAGTTAAAAATGAATGAAAATTAACTGTCTTTTGGCTCTACGGCAAAGCGTCAGTCGTAATTTTCATATTGACCAATCTAGCCACTAGGGTGGACAATATCCCAATTTTATTTTTAAATTTTGTAAAAAAAAATATTATATATATATATATATATATATATTCGGATTTTATATTAGTTATGGTTTGGTACTTTGGTGTGTTGTGCAAGCCCATTTAGATTTACGTTTATTAAAATATTTATTTAATTTTTTAAAATTATTTTAATTTTGATTAAAATTTGAATGTTTTAATTTTTAGAAAAATAATATGCAATCGATTTTTTAGACAATTTTTAATTAAAAACTCTAATGATTCCATAGGGTAAAAAAAGGAGAAGGAAAAAAACTCTAATAACCGCTTAATTAACAACCACATCAATAAATGAGATTTACCATGTCAAAGAGATTATGATGCATTTCTATCTTTAAATTCACATTATTGCCTTAACACTTCATAACTACGAAATATTGTTTCTTTTTGCATGGTGATATTTATAAACATACGCATGACGTGATTTATTTGAATTTTTAATTAATCAATGATTAATAATTTATTTTCCATGTCAAAGAGTTTATGATATATTTCTAACTTCAAATTCACATAGTTTTCCCTAAAATTAACACTTTATATCTATGAAATGATATCTCTTTTTTTTTCTGTAGGATATTTATAAACAGATCATGGTGTGATTTTATTTTAATTTTTAACTAATCAAATGATTAAATCTGGAGAGTATATTTTTATCTTCAAATTCACATTGCTGTGCTAAAACGTTAACACTTTATTATATTTATACATTTATATAATGTTGTCTCTCTTTGTGCAGGGATAATTATGAACAGATCACGTGTGATTTATTTTAATTTTTAACTAATCAAACGATTAAATCTAGAAAACTCCTTAATTAACAACCACATAAAACGGGATTTAGCATGTCAAAGAAAGAAGTTATGATATGTTTCCATCTTACAATTCACATTATCGTCTTAATTAAAAGGTCAACATTTTATATTTACTAAATGTTTTTTTTGTTTAAACATTTACGAAATGTTGTCTCTTTTTGTTTAGGAATATTTATAAACAGATCATTATTACATTATGTGAGTTATTTGAATTTTTTAACTAATCAAATGATTATATTTCTACACATTTACTAAATCGTTGGTTAGAAGTTAAATCTAGAGAACTTAATAAGTTTCGATACACTTCATTACCATTATAACTGGTTCAACATGATAATTTTCATGATGAGAGTGATATTTGATTTATTTTCTATCATTAAAACCAAATATTAATTTATATATGGTTGTAGATGAAATTATATTGCATGATAAACATATGGATTTGAAATGACATCACATTCTTCGATAAATATAATCAATTTTCTGCATGAATATTAGTATATAGTATAAAATAGGGTAAATATTTAATTTATGTTAGAAATTAGGGTGGACATTAAGAACCGAACCGAACCAAAAAATATGATATTTTTTTTCAAACCGAACAGTCTAAAATTTCTGAACGATATTTTTTTAAAACCGAATTTTTTAGGTTCAAACCAGACCGAATTTTAAAAAATTCGAAAAACCCAACAATTCTTAAAAAGATATAATTTTTTTTTAATAAAGATCGAAACCGAACTGAACCGAATATAAAATATTAATCGATTGATACATAATTTTGTAAAATCCAAAGAACCGAATCGAACCTCTTCGAACTGCATATCGAAACGTCCACCCCTATTAAAAACTTTTTACAAAATCAAAGCTGTAAAAAAGTTAAAACTGTGTAGCAAAACATTTATAGGAATAATGAATATTATTTAGTAGAACAATCTTTTTATATATTTTTTTGGGTACCAAAACAGTTATTTGGAAGGTGGAGATAAATGGGAATTGAAAAGCAAAGAGAAAAATCAAAATAATGATTAAAAAAAGTATTTGGTGGGGTTGTCATGTCATGTGTTGGTTACTTGCACAAGACTGTACAAATTGATCTGCTTGTCTCCCGTAATCTTAATTAACACAGTAATCGTGATTAGTTTTGATAATCTCGCAAGATCTTAGGAATATATGGCGGGTCCCATTTATTTGGACTAACTTCATATATTAAAAAAAAAATATACGAATTGAAAACTGGAATCCAATAACTTTTTTTTTCCCATTCGACCAATTATTAGTTTTTCTTAATTAAATACCACAAATTTGACAAAGAAAAATGTTCCCACATTTATGGTTAAAAAAGAGATAAATTAGTAAAAAAAAATGTTTCAATATTATACTATAAATGTCTCACAAATGGTTTCCCAAAAATAGTTTATATCTGCCACTAATTAGATCCCATCGGCATTAATTCTCATTTTGATTATTTTCAATTAATGATTGATCCGGACATAAATAAAAAATTAAGATTCGGTAATGCCCGTTTAAATAAACCCACAGGATAAAACAATGTCGGGGGGACAAAACAGTTACAGAAGCAACGAAATTGTGTTAAGAGATTTGCCCAAATATAAGGGAAGATTAAATTATGTCTATATTTTAATTACTGAAAACAACATGAGATTAATTAAAATAAATGGTTCATGTGCTTTTGTATAATTGAGCCTAACCGTGCAGGTGTCTGGCCACGTTCATAGGGAGACTACCTATTTTTACTCATATGCCACCATGCAATTTACATATATATATACGATATTTGGATATCCGATCTAATTTTTGGATTAAATATCTAAATATCGGGTTATATATGCCAATAGATTATTCAACGGTCGAAATCGAGTTTGGATTGATGTAGGTCTTAGATGGATAATCAACGAATAAATTATAAAAATTACATAAATATCATTTAGATTTAATATATTTACAAATTAGCATGACATATATTGGGGTCGGATATGGAATGGGAAGATAAGGCCGATCTCATGCTCGGCCCAAATATATATTTATCTTCACTCATGACGGTGGAAATTATAATTATTCAATTTTATTCAGTTTGATTTATTTTAAATTCGATTATTTTAATTTTCAAAAATTATAATTAAAAAATATAATTATTCGATTTTTGTATTTAGATTTTTATCCCATTATATTAGTTTTCTAAAAATTATAATTATTCGATTTTTTTACTTTGTTCAGTTTAGATTTAATTTTTTTAAAAAATTAATAATCATTTAATTATCAGATTATAAATCTTTATTATTTCATATTATTTTTATATTAGATTATGAATTGGACCGGGTTGGATCAGTAGTTGGGCCAGGCCCACCAAACGTTAGGAGATTCTAACAAGCTTTCTTCTCTCATTCGACTTTTTAAAAAAAAAAAATCGACTGCAGACAAAATTCACATCGATCGCTGCGAAGCGAATTCCGTCTCTCCCCAAGTTCCGACGACGCCATTATTCTGATCCGAGAAAAACTCCGAGATGTCTTCGTTTTGCGGCGATGAGACGGCACCGATCTTCGGCTTCCTTGTCGATGCATGTGTGCTTCGTCTTCTCCTGTAATCTATGCCTCTTCTCTCATCTGATGTTTTTTTTTTTCAATTTTATTATGTTTTTTCCCCTCCGCCTGACGTGATCATGAACGTGGTTTCCTGGAAAATTTTCTAAGATTCGTTTGATTGCTTGGACATATGTGGATTGGACATATATGGAGTAAGTAACTGGGTTTCGTTCTGGATAATTTTCCTGATCGATTGAGAAATATGTCCTTTAGGGTCGATCTACATCGTGACGAAAACTTTGTTCGGTAGATTTTGATCGTTCGATGCGCTTGCACCATCATGTATCGCACTTTGGTCCATTCCTATTTGGACATATATCTAAGGAACAGTTTATATGAATTAGGTTACATGTTTTAAAAGACCCTGGGAATTGGAATCCATTTCCATTTCTACCGAACATATTTTTGAAACTGCGATCTAGCGATGAACATTTTATCTGTTGGGCAATTAGTTCTTGAGCTTTCTGGAACTGTTGAACCTTGGCATGGTCATTTGATCTCTTCTTAATATAGTTTAATCTGATTTGGGTTTGAATGCTAATGTTATTGTGTAGCTTGATATGATTGCTCGCAGATCCAAAGTCATCGCTCCTATGGAACCGAACCTTCAAACATATGTAAGGACTTTGTTGTCGTGGAGTCATATGACTCTTTTTAACTCTTTACATTCAGTTTAACTCATGGCCTCGGTTTTGTCATTTTCAGGGGCCAAGTACTTAGTAGTCTAAAAGTCCAAAAGTAAATCAATTGTATCAAGAGAAAGGTAATTTATTAGGACAAGAGAATAAGATACATTCTAAGCTCCAAATTCCGTGATGGTTATTGTCCATATGTCTCTCAAGATCCATTCTAAGCTCCAAATCCCGGTTGCAATGGAAGTAACATTCTCTTTCTTTGTGTTGTTTCCAGGCAGCTGGTGTTAACTTCAACAGCAGCAGATCCAAACATTGGTAAGGACTCTTGTTTTCTATTGGCTGCAGCTAGTAAACTTGCAATGAACACTCTCTCTTCTTCTTCTTCTTCTTCTTTTTTTTACTTTAATGGCATGTCTAGGTGCTGTTTATGATCTTAGCTCCTGAATATAAGATTTAATGGCCGAGTGTATTTGGATAAATTTAGTTCAGCTTCGGGTATTTTCTCAGGTACCCGAACTTGGGTGATCAAGGCCTTCGGGTACAGGTCTGAGTAACAAACCATGTTATCCGTTCGGCATTCGGGGTACCCTAAAATTTTTCGATGGACTTATATTTAGAAAAAGGATAAAGATTACAAATGAATGAATAGTACTATCAATATTATAAGTTAAAGGAACACACACCACTCTCGGTTGTGAAACCCAATGTGGTCAAAGCACTGAACAAGGTCCAATTTTTACGGGAAGAAATGTGTTTCGAGCCAATCTATTGTATGACATAAACATGACGCAATTTGTTGTTTTGTCTTCTGAAACTAATGATTTGATTCTGTCTGTCTGAGGAAAAACCTTTTTTTTTTTCCATTTCTGTGCAGATCCATTATGCTCATACCCAGATGGAGAAACCTCTTGTGCCTGGAAAAACATTCTTTGGTTCCAAAGATATCAGCCTCATCGGCGATGATAACAAATCACGCATCGTTTCATTCGACGTGTGTTTTGTCTGAGAAATGGAAGAAACAGTGGGATTCTAATGATAAAGCTCCTAAGCGTGAGAGACCTTCCAAGAACCATATAAGGTATACTGTAAGACAGAAGCGTGCTGATGCTAAGAAGGCTCTAAACCATCTTCTCTTCCACACCGGGAGAATACAAAACTCGTTCCAGGATGAATGGAACTTTGATTCTCCGAAGCAGGAGAAGCTGAGTAAGAAATGTAAACCTGGACGGGGTAAAAAACCTAGTGACAAAAAAACAAAACGGTGGCACTCACAAGAAAGTTTCTCCGATGATTATGATAGCGATAACAGGTTCGAAGCTACATTCGGGAGAAGAACATATAGTTGGTCATTCAAGTACGGTTCTTGCTCTAGGAACTCGGGCTCTTCAGGGTTCGAATGGAGAGAAGGCTGGAACTGGACGAACCAGAGGACGAAGAATCGGGACGATGAGTATTGGGATGAATCTCTGAGTGTCGGGTCCCGATCCGACAGGACAATCCTGGGTCTGCCCCTGTTCGGTCCGCTCAAGATCGAGGATGTTAAGAAAGCGTTCCAAGAAGCGGCTTTGAAGTGGCACCCGGACAAGAACCAGGGACCTTATCAGGACACAGCTCAAGAGAAGTTTAAACTCTGTCTCGGTGCTTACAACTCACTCTGTTCTGCATTACATCAAAGTGTATAGATCCACTGGTTGTATGAGTTCGGTAGTTAGTAAGTTCAAAAGGGTAGCTCCCATTTTTTTGGAAGCTCCACGGATCTTGTCTGATGCTTAGTATCGTAGGATGTCTTCTTGTGGCGTAGATCTCATTCTCTTTGTGTTATTCTACCAAACCCATGGTTGTATTTTTACAATTTATTGTGCCCAACACTCATTCATGTACAATTATATTTATATAAAAAAATGAATATTATTTACTGTATGAGATAAGTGCCAATTCAACTCAATATTTGCAAGTTTAAAGTTTAGGAAAAATGGATTTATTCAATAATGACTGTCCATGTCTGATATTACAATATCTTTATAATTGTACATGATATTACAATTTACGCTGCCCTGAACATTTGTATTTTACAATATCTTTATCATAATATCACATGTGTAATTTGGTTTCTGCGCCAAAGACAAAATATAAATTTATATTTTTGAAGAAAGTAAATGTAAACTGTAAATTCTTCTTTGACACCATGAGATAGTAATGAAGAAAACATTATAGTTTGTTTACGATTCGCTGATGCACGAGAATCCATGAGATAGTAATAAAGAAAACATTATAATTTGTTTTGTAATTTTAATCATATCTTCAAACTTTGGTAACCTAGCCTAATCATGACTCATGGGTCTTGCGTCCCACATCATTCGGGATATATATATATATATATATGGGTGGACCCATGTAGAAGGGGGCATTTGCCCCCACTTTTAAATAAAAAATATTTATTTTCTTTATAACATATAAATTAAAATCGTTAAATGCCCTCGTAATGAAATTAAATTTGTTTCCCAAATTATAGTTTATATATATATATATTATATATATATGGATGGGCGGAAACTATACTACCTTTTTTTTGGATAATATAGATAGATAGAGATATACGAATGAGAGTTTCAAAATTACAAGACAAATAAATAGTATATTCAAATAGAATAAAATTATAATTTTTAGAAATTAGTCTAAATATCTTTTAATTATTCTATTAGATTATTTTAGTTTTTATTTTTATTCTAATATTATTATTCCGGTCTAAATTTTAAAATGTATTCTCTAATCCTTAAACTTTAAACTAATTTTAGAATCTAACAAAATAAATTTTAACTTTTAAACTTATGATCTAGAATTTATAGGTTATGATTTACATTTTACAGTTTAGAATTCAAGGTTGGTTTATAATTTAGGTTTTAGAATTTAAGATGTTTAGGATGCAATTAAATTGTCTGTGTCCCCATAAATTGATATATTTAATTTAATGAGACCGACCGAATGTTACACCGAGAGGACAATCATTTGCCATAACCTTCGTCTAATATTACAGCAACTTTATCAGAGATTCAAAGGCCAAAAAAGACACAAAAAGGCCACCCAATCTTCATTTTCCTTTTCACTATTATTGTAAAATAAGTAAAAATAATAATTAATCTAAGTTTTACAAATTAAAAACAATATGTTACATTGTCTACGTAATTATGCTTATGCAATGGGATAGCAACGATATATATATGTAAGAACAGTAAAAAAAAAGAAGAAGTGAAAGGGACATGATTAGCCACAACATAACCACAATAAGGTATAATAAAAAAAATTGCATCGATGGGTTATATCTGGATTAATTCGGTATAATTTTTTGTTTAAATTTCATATTATTCCAATTTTATTTCTTTTTATTTCAGTTTTTTTTTCGATTTGATTTGAATCATATTCGACACTAAAGGTATATTAGATATTACAGATTGGTTCTTGAGTTTTTTTTTTTTTGTTAACTGTGGTTCTTGAGTTTCTAACCGTGGAATAGCCATCACACACTTATATAATTAACCGTAAAAAGAATTCAAAGATAAATAAAAGATCTTTTCTTTAAGTTGAAAAATTCTTAATTAAAGACCCGTCAAGGAATCTTTCCGGGAATTTTACTCAAATGACCCACTTGGGTCGCACCTATTTCACGTGTATACCAGAAAAAACATAACACTTTTTTTTTGCGTGAAAAGACGAAATTACCCTTAATGAATACGCGATTTTTATCCGTTCGAAAACAACTTCGTTATTACGACTTCGTAATTAATTCTAAATATAGTTACAATTGATTCTAAAAAAGGTGGCAAAAAAATCATCTATCTTATTTTAGTGGTATATCAGTTATATGTTAGTTGTAATAAGGTCGCAAAAAATAAAACGAAAAGGGTATTTCGGACTTTTCCAACCGAAAAGTGGGTTAAAATTGAATTTTTTTTTTTTCGGTGGTGTACACTGAAATTGCTGCGACCCAAGTGGGTTATTTGAGTAATATTCCCAATCTTTCCCAAGTGGGTTATTTGAGTAATATTCCCAATCTTTCCCCAGAGAACAAAATCAATTTGTTTACGGAAATTCAGTCTCGTCTCATAGTTATTGACAGTGAATTAAAAATATGAATTTCAATTTATTCATAATCACATAATGATATGCTCAAAGATATTTGAATTTTATCTCTCCAATCTTGAAATAATTTGTTCCACATCTTCGTCAAGGAATATTACCAATATTTTTTGTATAATAAAAAATAAAAATGAGTTACCAATTCAATGGTATTTATAACTCTGCGTGCAGTGTGCACAATCCCCGCAGAGTAAACGTCCGTTTACCGCCGTCAACGCGTTTTCTTTTTTCTTTTTTTTTTAAATATTCTATGGAGCGAGAATATATATATATATTTATATTATTGCATAATTGGCATATATATATATATATATATATATATATATATATATATATATATATGGAATGGGGTGTATAAAAATCATTGTTATAAAAAAAACTATGTTTCAATCATTAATAAAATATAAAAATTGTTGGAGATCAATTAAACTATTTATTTAAACTGCAACAAAATATGTTATTAATTTTTTTTATATAAAATTTTATTTCAGAATCATATATTTTTAGATATGCGGTTAATTAGTCTTAATTTGCTTATTTCTCTATTATATATATACACACACGATGGTGATGTTCACAATTTTCTTTGGATACGTACTAGAACCGTGACAAACCTTCTTTCTCCATTATTTTTTTTTATCATTTATTTTCTTTTGTAATATTGTTATTTTATAAAGGGAACAGATAGGAAATGAAGTACGCATGCATTTAAGGTCAAGAAAGTGCATAAATATAAAATATGCATATTAATGTATTTTTTATAACGACGTTCACTTGTCCTTTAGCCGATTTAATTTTTTGGATTGGGAATCAGGCTCCAGACAATTTTTTTTTTATACATTGGGAATTCCGGCTGCTACCTTTCGAACGCACTGACCGAGTAAACCCAAGCCCACACACGAGCCTGCAACACAGCGTAGGAGGTAAATCAGCTATAACTGACCGGCGATAGGTGAGCGGGACCCAAAATTTTGAAGATAGACTTTCTCACCATGTGTATGTGTATACATGAAACTTGAATCGTATATTACCAATTCCTAAATTCGTAAGTGTATTCCAAAATTTTGTATTAACTATATTTTATTTTGCATACGTTAATAGGTTTGTCTCACACATATGTACTGTATTGCTGTAAATATACTATAATTAATCACTTGATGTAATACTATATTTTTTACCTATAAATCCAAATATAGAAAGATATATATATTATAATTAAATCCATAATTTTTTAAAATATGAATTAAAAGCTCATCCATTAAACATCAGACTTCCTTAATTATATCATATTTTCTTATTTACTCATTTATAGGTTCTCACTATTTCTTTTTTTTTTTTTTGGAAATATCATATTGAATATACTTGAAGAATAGGGAAAACCCCGAGCTCTATTGCTTGAGACTTGAGAGCACATGTCTTTTGGTGGAAGGTCATGGATTCAACCCTTCAGAGTATGAGTTTTTCTAGAATTTGTCAGTTTCGATTGATTTACATGTTTCACGTGATTTTTAGACTGTTGCGTGTGAACAGTGGATTTGCTCTGCACCCGAAGGGTTGTGTTGGTTTTCTCCATTACCCTATATATATATATATATGCTCGAAGAATAAAGGATACTTATATGAGGTGTACATAAAAATTATTGTTTTATATCTAACGGATGGGGTTATATGGACTATTATACGATTATGTTGAGCAAATCTTTGGGGATCATAATTTGCATGCGCCATTGTCCGCACCTACCGTATACGAAATATACACATGTATATATATATATATACATATATAGATATGTGTGTACATACGTATATATACATATATATAGATGTATATATTGAGTTCCGAGGAGGATGCGGAAACTTGAAGAAGTTTTGTCATCATTTAATGATGCAATTAATATCTATCGACGTGGAAAACCGACGGTAGTTGCATAATAAATGTTTTTTTATTGAAATGACATTTGTAGCTACAAGACCTCATTTAACCAAAACGTGAATCATGCATGCATCGTGATTGCCCCATCACCATTTATTCTATTTTGATGGAGATTAAATAATCCAAAAATCCATTGATTTATATTCGAAAAATAAATAAACTTACTGATATTCCACGATCTTATTTAAAAAACAAGAAAACAATTATAAAAGGTATCTCATTAAAATAATGAAAAATCAGACATGTTATTGTTCGGTGTGTCCATTAATGCATAAAATCAATTAGCAAAATTTATTGTAGAGACCTAACAATCCTTTGTCACCTTGGGACATAAAATCCGCGAAAATGATAAACACGTGTCCGTCTTATAGCCATTGAAGTAAACCAACAAAACATAAACGTGGCATATTCTAAGCCCTGAGATCACAAATTCTTGATAAATAAACTGACCATTTTATATAAAAAATAAATAGATATATCAAAATATGAACAAATTTTAAATTGAAAATAGAAAATAGTTAATTTTTTAATTATTTAAATTTTAATTAGAATTATTACTAATTAAAGGTGGATACGATTTTTAATTTTTTTTAATCAAACACATTTAATATAAAATATAAATTTAAAACAAGAAAATAAATTTTGAACATACATTTTTAAAATTAAAAAGTTTAAATTTAATATACATTTTAAGAAATATGAAATCTAAAAATTTAAAACAAGTCCAACTTGAATATTTTTTTTTTCAAAATTTAAAAATTTAAAGCAAAAACAAAAGAAACGCTTCAAATATCGACCGCTCGTTTTATCAAGTTAGAATTTCTTCAAAATTATCTCAAACCGCGATGGCGAAAAAAAAAACAACTAAAACAATTGGAAACGCAGATTGAGTGGTAACCACTAACAATGCCACGTAGGACTGCCACGTGTCTGCTCGCGGTGAAAATGCTGCAGGACTGCCACGCGGCGAATCGACGGTGAAAACGATAATCCGTGACGAGAATCCGAGTCGTCCCGACTGAAATAAAAGAACGTCTCAGCGTGAAGGGCGGGCTGAAACATTTCATCAGGATTCGGTTCTATTTTTTTTTTTTGGTCAAAAGAGGGAGTTTACTTTGGCCTTCGGTCCAATCTATATCTTTCTGGATCCGGAAGCAGCGTTTGAACACACAGCTTTTGGCTATACCTTTCCCTCCCCATATGTCTGGATTCGAACCCCTGACCTGGAGGAAGAACACCCTCGATTCGGTTCTATTTATTTAATATATTTTTTTTATAATATTATATATATATAAATAATTAACTTGATTTAGTTGCTAAATATATGTCATATATAATAATATCAGTCTCATTATTGTTTTGAATAATCGAATATAAATGAATTTCGTAGGAAGGGAAATGCGTGCATTATCAGATTTGAAAGTTTTTCCCCATAGTATGCAACAATTGTACACTTCGCTTTTACCAAAACACATTTTGTTGCGTTTACGGAAAATAAAACCCAGGAATTTTTTTTCATTATATATATATATATATATATATATATATATATATAAATTAAATGGGCCCCACGGCCCAAATCCAACCTCAACCCAGTCTTCGCCTCTGTCTCCCCCTATATAAACGACGCGTTTCCCTTCATGCAACTCTCACCGTTCACGCCTCCCCTCTCTTTTCCATCTCGTTTACCTGCGTTTTCCCGAGAAAATTCCACATTTTCTTTTTCTCCCCCCAGAAAAAATCCACTTTTCTGCATGGTGACGGGACCTCTCGGGGCGTAGGTTTGATTAATTTGGTAAATTTCCTTTTCTTTGTTGATGGGTTTTTAAAATTTTGTTGACCTTCTCCTGAAGAGTCGACGTGGGTACTCTAGGGTTGAGTCGGGTCGTCAGGGGGAGTTTTCACGGCGGAGATAGATTCATCTTCTGCTTCTTCTGAGGGGGTTGGCCGGGGCTCCGGCCTCGGCGGGTTTCAAAGCCCTCACGCTTACAATCTCTGCAATCTGAGATAAAATTCATCGATCCAGTTTTTTTTTCCTTTTTCTTGATTTTATTTTACCCGATTCTTTGCTTTTTTTTTCATCCTTCTGGGTTTCGTCGAAAATTTCTCTGCAAGTGGATTTCTGATTCGTCGCTGAAAGGGGAAGAGGATGCCGGCCCTGGCTTGTGTGGATGCTGCCGTCGCGCCTCCCGGCTACGCCTTCTCCGGGGATAGCTCCCTTCCCACAGGCGGCGTCTTCTTTCCGGCGATCACCCCTGCCGCCGCCGCCGTCGGTGGGTCCCCCCATTGGTCGCCGTCGCTATCCGCTTCGCTCTACCGGATTGACGGATGGGGCGCTCCTTACTTCACTGTCAACTCCTCCGGTAACATCTCTGTTCGTCCCCATGGCTCAGATACCTTGTCTCACCAGGAGATTGATCTGTTGAAGATCGTGAAGAAGGTTACCGATGCCAAATCCTTAGGCGGTCTCGGTCTCCAGCTCCCGCTTGTTATGCGGTTTCCGGACGTCCTGAAGAACAGGCTCGAGTGTCTCCAGTCGGCTTTCGATTTCGCGATCCGGTCTCAGGGCTATGAATCTCATTACCAAGGTGTTTATCCGGTGAAATGCAACCAGGATAGGTTCGTCGTCGAGGACATCGTCGAGTTCGGGTCGCCGTTTCGGTTCGGGCTCGAAGCCGGGTCGAAACCCGAGATTCTCCTCGCCATGAGCTGCCTCTGCAAAGGTAACCCTGATGCTTTTCTTGTCTGCAATGGCTTCAAAGACGCTGAATACATAACATTGGCTCTACTTGGTCGGAAACTGGCCTTGAACACGGTGATCGTGCTCGAGCAAGAAGAAGAGCTCGATCTGGTTATCGATCTGAGTAAGAACATGAACGTGAGGCCTGTGATTGGGATTCGTGCGAAGCTGAGAACCAAACACTCTGGTCACTTCGGCTCGACATCTGGTGAGAAGGGCAAGTTCGGATTGACCACGACGCAGGTTGTTCGTGTCGTGAGGAAGCTCGAACAAGCTGGTATGCTCGATTGTCTCCAGCTCCTGCATTTCCACATCGGTTCACAAATTCCATCCACTTCTCTTCTCTCTGATGGCGTGGCTGAGGCTGCTCAGCTTTACTGCGAATTGGTTCGGCTCGGTGCCCACATGCGAATCATCGATATCGGCGGTGGTTTGGGGATCGACTACGATGGATCCAAGTCCGGCGAATCCGATCTATCTGTTTCCTACAGCATCGAGGAATATGCTGCAGCTGTCGTCACGGCTGTCCGATTTGTCTGCGACCGGAAATCGGTCAAACACCCCGTGATCTGCAGCGAAAGTGGCAGAGCCATTGTGTCTCATCACTCTGTCTTGATCTTCGAAGCTGTCTCTTCAACTGGACCGGTCAAGCATGGTGTTGACCAGACCGACCTCCAGTTCATGCTCGATGGGCACTGGGAGGAAGCTCGGTCCGATTACCAGAATCTCTACTCGGCTGCCATCCATGGAGATTACGAAAGCTGTCTCCTTTACGTTGATAAGTTGAAGCAGAGATGCGTTGAAGGGTTTAAAGATGGATCGCTGAGTATAGAACAGTTGGCTGCGGTTGATGGGTTATGCGAATTGGTTCTAAAGGACATTGGTGGATCGGATTCGATCCGAACATACAACGTTAATCTCTCTGTGTTCACTTCTATCCCGGATTTCTGGGGAATCGAACAGCTGTTTCCTATAGTCCCGATTCAGAAGCTCGATCAGAGGCCGGGGACCAGAGGGATCTTATCGGATTTGACGTGCGACAGCGATGGGATCGTTAACAAGTTCATAGGCGGAGAGTCGAGCTTGCCTCTGCATGAGCTGGACAACAATGGCGGCGGGAGGTATTATCTGGGAATGTTCTTGGGCGGGGCGTACGAGGAGGCGCTGGGTGGGGTCCACAACCTGTTCGGAGGGCCAAGCATGGTCCGCGTCTCGCAGAGCGATGGCCCGCACGGCTTTGCGGTGACTCGAGCCATGCCGGGCCAGTCCTGCGTGGACGTCCTCCGGGCGATGCAGCACGAGCCCGAGCTCATGTTCCAGACGCTTGAGCACAGAGCCGATGAGTTCTGTAGTAACAGCAGCAGCCATAGTAGTAGTGATCTCAACAATAATGGCGGCCGAGACAACGATGACGATGATGACGTGGCAGCTTTGCTGGCGCGGTCGTTCCACAAGATGCCGTATCTCGGTTTCTGCTACTGCGACGAGGACGCAGCGGTTGAAGCCGCTGTGGTGGCGGGTGGAGGGGAGAGCTGGGCT